TCGGCCAACCGTGTATTTCGGCTTAATCAGCTTTTTATCATGTTTCCGTCCTCCTTTTTCAGTTATGCGCGCGAACGCGACGTAACCTGCTTTCTGAAAATATATTTGGCGCGGTGGTGCAACGTGTTCTGGCGTTTTCCGCGTTATTGTTGTTTTACGACTTACTTCTGAATGTAGAATCACGACCTGGCCGCTTGTTCCACGATTTTTGGGACAATCTGTATGCAGCCGTGGACAATTGATTTTTATATTCGGTATAATTTCGTATTTTTCACTCGGAGCTACATTTTATACCTTGATATAGAATAATATAAAAAATTCACCGTATCTTTCTAAAGACATAGCTTGACATTAAAAACGCCATAATCGTACATTATTAAAAAACCCGTTAGAAAGGAAAATTGAAAAGCGAACAAGCAGTTTGTAAATGAAAAAAATGGCGGACACGTTAGTGAAAATGAACTCGAAAGAACACGGTTTTCCGAAAATGCGGAAAACGCGTTTCGCAGCACGCCCATAGTAGGGCGAAAGAAAAATAAGGGGATGGAGGTTGATTTGGAGCGGTAACCGCGCGAAATGCACATAGCGCATCCATGCGCGAAACTACAGCTCGAGGTGCACGTGTCACGGTCATATATTATGCACGGCCGTGTACGCGCGATACTTGGGTAGCTCTAAAGCCCTGTGTATACAAGGCAAGCACAGTGACGGACAAACTGCAGCTGCACACATGCCAGGGGCGGCAGAGCTCGCAACTGCGACAATAGACACACCCCGTTTCGAAGGTGGCTAGACTTTGCACAGCCCGACATCTTGCAACCCGGTCCTGTTCTATCGGGCTTTAGAATTCACCCGTGAAAGCACTGTCGTTACCGAAAATCTATCCGCCTGTATTATTAAACGCCGGATAATACCGAGATAGGGGAAAAGCATTCGCTCGGCAAAGTGGAAATAACGACGGGATAAAGCGACAGGTTAAACCAGCGAATTTCGCCGTAGATTTTATCGGAACGTTAATCCTTCAACTTCATAAATATTTATGCTGATTTCAACGAAAATGCGAGTGCGCGACATGTTCCGCGCACCTGCTATTTTCCGAAATAGAAGTTGTTTTACAAAATTTCAAATTGAACTTGTTTCGGTTAAAACATATTGTTCGCTAAATGCTGCGAGACTGTTGTAATAAAATGTGTACCTTACTGTGGTACATAAAATTATAACTTCGAAATAAAAACTTTATGTTGAAATTGCAAACTGGTCGAATAACCGAAACTGACACACGTAATGGTCGATTTCCGCGCAAAGTAAACATCGTGTCGGACAAACTGCATTTCCGGACTTGCCTCGGAGCTTAGGACAATAGAACAAATCCCTTATTATCATAATCGGTTCATTGTCCTGAAAGGGTTAACTAGCGAATCTCACGGCTCGGTTGAGTTCTGAATCGATAAGCTTTGCGTTCAGTTGCCGAAATCCCAATTGCAGCAGCGGGATAGGTTCGCAGGGAGGGAAATCGGAGTCGCGTTTCTGGGATGTTTCTTCGCGCTTCGAGGAACGCGAGTCCGCTTAGCGTCGCGACGAAACAATGGCTCGCGAGTAGAATGCGACTGCCACACGCGAGCGTGTATCTTCCCAGAGAATTCGCGAACCGTCTGAAAATTCGAATTACGTCAAGCTCAGACCTCGACTCGGCTTTAACGCCGGTTTAATTAATTAAAAAGGAGACCTGCAACGTTGTCGCCAACACAAAAGGCAGATTCTTTTGTTAAGAAACGGTATTCTGTCTGCTTAACTTCCGACCAACGTATCAAATTCCACTGCGTTTTTACTCCGAGGGTGTCTTATTTGATACCGACTACGCCAGTCACTTTTTATGGCCTTGTCACGAACGTTCTACGCGCTTTCGACAAATTTCTCGGGGAATTGCGTAGGAAAGACACTATTATATCGTATGTCTGTTGTGCTAATGTATTTGCAAGATACGTCCATGAAAATTTCACGCGAATGAAATTCTGTTATATTTCAGAGTTCCGTGTGCGATTCTTTACGCAGGAATTTCAAGGACCCTAAATCACCGACTTGTAGAGAATCGACTATGAAAAAGGCTGTTATGCGGCAATTTGCATCGTACACGTTCCAGCAGTTTACGCGTTCCCTCTGGAAAATGCCGTTTTCCGACAGGCTGGCGCAATCTCGACAATAAAAAGCGAACACGAAAGCGTCCCAAACACTACCGCTCTGAAATTAACGCGACTAGAAAGTATCTCTCGACCGTGAAACCATCGAGAACGTGGCCCTGCATGCAAGATTTTTTTCAAAATGGGCCACGCGTAACGCCGAATGTATCGAGACAGTTTACACCCGTTACATACATTCTAGAGAGATTGTTTTTGATCGTGGATTTCAAGTACGACGCTAAGTACGCGGAAAAGTGTTTTGACTGCACTTGTACAAAGTGTTATTTACTTTTATTATTACAACGGAACGCTGTAAGTTGAAAAAATACTTTGAGATTAGAACCTGAGAGCAAGTTGGAAGTTCCTTCAATTCGAAGGCGTAAAGTCGTAATTCGTAAGCGGTGTAAATTAGAAAGCGAACAATTGGAGCTGAGAGGAAGTTTCGAAATTGGAAAACTGGAAGTAATTTGAAAGCAGCGCAGTTTGGAAATTAGGAGCTAGAAAGTTTGGAGCTTGAAAGTTGGAAGTTTTGAAATTTTTCGACGGGGAGTCATAATTTAGAATCATAGAGAGCTCGAAAGTTTATAAATTCGAAGACTAGACGTGTAGCTTCGGAATTGAAAAGCCGAAGGTTGTAAGGTCGAAAGACTGGAAATGGTGTGATATGAAAGGGAGGACCTGGCTGGTCGGAAAACCCGTAAATTCTGCTATTTTCGGGCGTTTCTCTAGTTTCGAGCGATCGACGGTGATTGCAGCAGCGGAGTTTTTTTCCCCGGGTAACGAGCTACAACGCGTTTCGTAAAAGGACGTCGAGCAATCGAGGCGTCCCAATGTCGTCGAGGCGAATAAAGCCGTCCCTCCAATCTTGGGAGGAAAAAAGAGTTACTCACTGTTTTACGAGCACGAGGGATTCTCATTCGAGCAGCAGCCAGATCAGATTCTGCAGCGTTTCAATTTCCCTATCTCATTTCGCTTGGCCTGGTCAAGGCTGAGTCGAACAGAGATTCTCCGTAATTCTGTGGCCTTGTCCCGTTAAGGGGACAATTTTAGTATCGGTGGATCGTTTAACGACGATAAAAATACGAGGCACGTACCGCGTGGACCGTTTCGAATGTTCACCAACCGATTCCGATCGAGTAATTTGGAACAATCGACGCAAAATGCTACTCCGCTTTCTGCAGACTCCGGGGAACAATGAAAAATTCCCTGCAGGCTCTATTTGCGCGAACTGTAATCATTTATGCGATTCTATCCTTGTTAACCGTAAAGTTCAAAGTTTAAGACCAATTTCGAACTAGCAGCGTTCAAGTTGCGGACTCTCAAGTTCAACGATGCAGATTGGAAATTAAAAAATCACAAACTTTGACAGTTGGAAACTGGCAATGGGATCGACACTGTTTCGAACCAGCCAAATTGGAGAGTTCGATCATTTCATTCGAAACACTTTGTTACGTATAAATTTTGTTCGCGGGTTCTTTGTAATTGGTCGGGTCAATTTCAACTCTTCGTAAGATATACGTTCAAAGTATAATTGTTCTCGCGTAAGAAATCGTACTCTCACGGGGTGAAATGAATATAGGCGAAATAAAAACAAGTCCCGGTAGAAAAAGCTCGAAGCTTGGAAAAGCTTCGACGATCGATAACAAGGAAGATGTACGATCGTTTTTTATATCTGGCAAAATTCTTTCCTCGCAACTGACCCACATTCTTCGCGAGAACAAGAGCGATTTCGAGCAATCGTTCGAGCAGACGGAAAAGGAAACATGGCTGTGAAGTTTTTTCGTTTTTCCCGGACTGCGAGTTGCGAATTGCGGGGGAATCGATCCATCGAAGACCTGTTTCGGTTTGCTCGACTTCGAGAGAAGCAATCCAATCTTCGGGGAATTCTATTTCTCGCGAACGAAACCTTGACGAACCGATGAGAGTGAAACGGAATCCAGAAGTAGGGTTGATGAGCTTCCTCTCCTTAGTTTCCGAAAGATTTTCTCTCCATAAACGCTTATTTCGCCCTTTATCGCGTATCCGAACTGAAAGTAAATTCAACAAATAATTCGCGAACGAAATTTTTCGATTTCTACAATTTTGGATAACTATAATTCGAATATAGCGGTATACTCGAGTTACTCTACCGCTAATTATAGTTGGACGTAAAATCACAGCAGGGTTCTACGGAAAACTATATTTGTCCGGTCAAAGGGGTCTACGCTCCGAAATAGCTGACGCGCACCGAAGGCAGAAATAATTGCACGATAGAACCTTCCGAATCGAAAGGTACTTTCCAGCTGGAAGCTTTCGAGTCAGAGGTTAAAAGCTGGAACCTGCTCGATTACAAATTAAAATTAATAGCTTTCGAATTGGAAGTTTCCTACTCGAAAGGTAGAAACTTTTCCGGAATGTAAGTCGGGCATTTGTGAAAGCTGACCGTATGCGCTGTCTTCCAATGCAATGTCAAAAATTCATTTGGGCGCTTTTCAATCGGCCTTGCTACTGGCTCCATACACGAACATAATCGAGTAACCGACTCGACAGAATGAACGATAGGGCGGCTTTTGCCAAATTAGACGTCGAAATTTGAATTTCAAATCGATTCAGACTAGCAGCCAGATCAATTTAGCGAACCATCTGGCTTCGTCAACGTCGAATACCATCGACGGCGCATTCTAAACGATCTCGTTGCATTTGACACCACTTATAAACTACTTCCGGTACAATCTGTCCTGTAGTTTGCCGCATCCGAACTCTAACAATTACCCGTTTCGATAAATTCGATACGTGAACTGTCGTCGAGGATCTTTTCTCGAATAATATTTGGTCTTTTTTCAGAAAAGTGATCAATCTGTCGATAATCGAGGAGGACTCGTACGAGAAGGACGCTTTGTTCTACGTCGAGTTAGGTGAACCACAACTGCAAGGAGGTGAGCATGAAATTTTCTAATCAATTTTGTGCGATGAAAAATCTCTGTTTAAATTTGATAGCGTTAAGGTGACTGGTCTTTGATCAGTCTGAAGGAAAATGGAGAGGCACGTGTTTACTAATTAGGTGTCTAACGCACCGACGTATTTAATAAAAGCCGTTGACTGCCACGCTGGAAGTAGCGCGAGAAACATTAATCTCTATAAACGTTTCGCGATAATAATAAAAATTATTCATACGTGATTTTATCGATACTTAACGAAGATTACCTAAATTTAGTAATCGTATAATAAATGTTATACCTTGTAACATTTACAGACTATACAATTATACCAAAGTTAAAAGCACGTGCCTCTTAGCTTTCTAGTCGAAGAAAATTTCGTAACGGTGATCCCGTTTCGTCGACGGTTAAAAAAAGGGAGCGAAGAAGGGTAACCCTTTTTCTTTCGCGATCGATAGAAGTTTCCTTTGAAAAACAAACAGTCCTCGAGGGTAAAAGAAAATGTCTAATAATCTCGTTAAAGAGGGCCAGAGTGTTCGGAAGCGCGACGCATCGAGAGGTTAAAGCCGAATGGAATTTTCTCGGTGGTACTTTGAAATTCGTTTTTAACGGGTCAGCGAGGCCTCTAATCACACGAAGGTCGAGAACTAACGGAAAGATCGAAGGGTAACGAGATTTAAATAACGCTAGGTCGCTCGTGTAATCGCGTGGAAACGAGAGGAAAAGATACGAACGTGGACACGAAAGAAGGACAGGATGAATCGCAAAAAAATATCTGAAATGTTCAAAGGTTTATTAATCGAGTTCGGCCTCGATTCGTTTACGATTTGCTATAGAACGACGAGAAATCCGACCGGATCATTTATGAAAGATATCGAGAGTCGAGGAAAATTTCCTGCGCATGTACGAATTTAACTAATTACTCGCAACCAATTTAACTCTTTGTTCCTCGTCGAGACAATGGGTGTTTGAACGGCTTCGGCTGAAAAAATTAAGGGTAATCTTTATGGTCAGTGATTCGTGAACCTTTTCAGTCGCCACGCGTTCAAATTTCATGTATTTATGTACTGGATTATCGCCAGCCGATAAACGCATCAATTTTTCATTGCGATCGAACCTATTTTAAAGCGCGCCGATGCTGCTGCATATAAAATATACCGCTATTTACAAATTAAATTTCATGGCACGGATTTTGCCGAAGCGCGATAAAAATCGATACCGTTGTTTCCGCTTTATACAGCGAGCAACATCGATATTTGGTATAATTGTCGATTGATGCATCCTTAAATAATCGATCTCGCGACTGAAATTCATGGACGTTTCAAGGTAAACGGAATTCGATACTCGACCTTCGTGAAATGAACGCCTCGGGCCAGGTAGTATTCGTTGAGTCTCGTTCGATTGTTTTCCAGAGAGGAAATCATAAATCGAGAGGTTGACGGGACGAGTGATTACAAGCTTATCGATCACGGGAGAAAAATGGGAAAAACGCGATGGTCAACGACGTTCTTCCGTAAACTGATTTATCGCCGATGCGTTGAAAAGAGAAACACGGAAACTAAAAGTTATATGGGATAGAAATTTCGATTCGCTTTGAATGTTATTCAAAATTAGAGGCTAAAACGCTTCCGATAGAAAAAGTGCTATTCCTTGTATCGTTGTTCGGACGCTGAACAAACTTCGTCTTTCAAGAACTCGATGAATAAACTTCAAAGCGATTCGACGTTCAACGAAATTATTTATAAATTTACAAGAGAGAACCCGGTAAAGATTTTTCATGAAAGTTATTTTAAAGCTACGATTAAAAATTAATTCTTAATAAATGTGCAATTGCTTGATGTATTTTGTTGCAACTGGATCCGATACGATTCGACGTAAGTTTCAACGAACGGGAATGTTAAATTCCGATCGATTTAGCATCCTGTCGCGCTGATTCCCTGCAGCCGTTTCCTCTCGTAACAAACGACCTAGAGTGGTTAACAGTAGCCGCTATACTCAGAGTAAACTGACTCCATAATGGCACAAGTACGTTAGCGTCTTTCTAGTCCGATGCAGAGGACAGTAGTTGCGTACATGTCGCTTCGTATACGCTACTTATAAAGCTTGGTTTACGCTTCCAGTTTTTCTATACTTTACGATTTTATATTCTTTTCAGTGTCTCAAGTTTAATAGCATACATAGGTTTACTTATGCGCTCTTCGTAGGGGTCGTAGAAGCTGTGGATGTTAGAACTCTTTGGATACTAATGTGAATTTTTTTTTTATGATCATTTATAGTTTGGATCGAACGAAACTGAGTTCAGGTAGATTGTACTCGAGCGAAATCGAGTAGTCGAACGATATCGATTGGATCTAAGCGAATTAAATCGAGGTAAATGAAGTCCCCGAGTCATCTCGATGTCTCACTAGCCACAGAAGAAGATATGTTCGCAAAAGCTCTTTTCTAGTTGATAAAAGATGGAATACAATTCCATTTTCGTGTCACACTTTCTTCTCGGTGGTGCTGTCTACATTCACGATTTGCATACTACGAGGTTTCGTAACCGCGTGTACCTCTCCCGAGCTCATGCATATGCATTAATATATATTTTGTGGCGTATAATCTCGCGTCGTTTTATATCGTCCGTGGCAACCTGGTTTCGGCTATTTTGATACTGTATTTGTTTTCGACTTAACCACGAACGGATACTCGATGCTTTCTAACGCTTTACCTTCGAGAACGCTTTCTCTACCGAAATATCTTTCGGTTAATCGGACCGAAAGGCTTTATGTAGAATAACTTGCAAGTAAATTTTGTCGGTGTCCCGTTTTCCTACTTTCTTCTTAAATGGAACGGGGAAGAAATATGTGAATACATGTAAAAGGCATCGTTATATCTAATGGGGGTTAATTAATTGGTTAATTAGTCGATGGATAATTTGAGAATCGAACGGAACTGAGGTCGATCGAGAATTCTCCGGAAGAAAGGATTCCGAAGGGTGCTTAATGGCCTGCGAATGTTCGCCTGGTTTGGGTTAGATCACCAGGGAGCTAGTCAGGTATTCTCGTTAACCTTTTATCCGTGACGTATATGTACGTTCTAATGAAACGCGCGTTGATTAAATACGGACTCTTCGCGATAGAACCAGGAGACGAATCGGTGATTTACCGAATTCTACCAATTAACCCAAGTTACCTTGATCGTTAACACTCGAAGCGAGTGTTAATTACCGACGTATCGATTCAGTTTCTGAACTAGTATCGGTTTACGGCAACTTACAAGTTCTCCAAATAAACGAATTAGGTAACGATCGATCTGTAACGCGGTACAAACTTTTTGTTCAAACGAAACACGACGCTTCGGTGATTGGCAGTGATCGTTGACTACTCCCGAGAATTTTCAACCGAAAACTTCCCCCGTTCAGACACTCCGTGACCTTCGCGAAGTCCCTGGGAAACTTGAACGTTGCATCGGGCTTCCGCGTGATCCGCGGAAATTTGATTTATTTTCACCGACCACGGGTAAGCGTTGACTCAATGGTCGTTCACTCACCGATTTATCGATTTTAACCCTCTTTCACCCAAAAATTACAGCTGTTCATTCATGAAATACCTTGTAACGCAAAACACAGGAAAATTGCTAATAAAAGAATGCCATTCGGATCAACGAACGCGATCATGAACGCCTAAGATTATTGTACTATTGCATGCCCGTTTCATCATGCATTGTATCGCAATGAGCTATATTCAACGATTTGATCGATGGGTTGTCATTGTATGTTGACGCGATATATCATCGTTCGTTCATGCGTTCGAGTATCACGCACTATTATCTGTTGTACTACTTTCAGTAGAATCATGCATTGTATTATCTGTTGTATTATCACTGTTGCACTCGTGCAATCTCCCTCTGTACTATTTACGTGTTTACTCAGTGTACCAAGCGCTGTACGGCGCGCTGTAATGCTACACGCCATGTTACCACTCGCTCCATCGTGTCTCGCATTACTACGCGTTCCAGCATCAGGCTTCGTAATATTCATGCGTCGTTACTACCACGCATCGAAATATTAGGCGCCGCAATTCCACGCGTTGTAACACCACGCGCCGCAGTTTCACTCGTTAGAATTCCATGCGTCGTGACACCACGCGTCATAACACCACGCGCTGCAATTCCACGCGTCGTAGTACCACGCGCCGCAATTCCGTGCGTTAGAATTCCACGCGTTGTAACACCACGCGCCGTAACATCACGCGTTGTAACACCACGCGTCGTAGCACCACGCGTTAGAATTCCATGCGTCGTGGCACCACGCGCTGCAATTCCACGCGTCGTAGTACCACGCGCCGTAACATCGCGCGCTAGAACTCCACGTGTTATAACACCACGCGCCGTAACAACCCACGCGCTAGAATTCGACGCGTAGTAACACCACGCGCCGCAATTCCACGCGTTAGAATTCCACGCGTTGTAGCACCACGTGCCACAATTCCATGCGTTAGAATTCCACGCGTTGTAACACCACGCGCCGTAACACCATACGTCGCAATTCCACGCGTCGTAACATCACGCGTTGTAACACCACGCGCCGTAATACCATACGTCGCAATTCCACGCGTCGTAATATCACGCGTTGTAACACCACGCATCGTAACACCACGCACCGTATTACATATATCATTACCACGCGCCCCGTCGTTACTATCAAGCCATTACAACTTTACCCGTATTTTATCTCTACAATAGTGGCAATCTACACATAGTATCGTACATAGACTAACCGTTCAAGAAGCGTCAAAATTTCTAATCCGCGGCAATATGTCGGGACCATGTGCTTACACGTTTTCGGTAGGGAAATTCTTTCACACCGGTGCACTCAGGCTCCGTCATTAGTTTGGGCGTAGAGTTTGCTATCCCACGAAACACTCTCCGAGGTACATACAAAGTTACGATCATCCCACACGGGAACTGGTTAACTGTAACGATCGCGTCATCACCAGAGGCGGTCAATTACCGACGTT